TCCTCAAAAACAGACCTCAGTTAGTCTGAGTCATCATCCTAAGCACAGGCTCCCCTCAGGGCTGCGTCCTGAGCCCCCTGCTGTTCACCCTGATGACACATGACTGCGTCCCCAGGTTCACCCCAAATCACATCGTGAAGTTTGCAGACGACACCACAGTGGTGGGCCTCATCAGAGACGACAACGAGTAGGACTACAGAGAGGAGGTGGAGCAGCTAGTGGGCTGGTGCAAAGATAACAGCCTGATCCTGAAAGTGGAGAAGATGAAGGAGATCATCGCATATACTCCTTGTGGAGGATGAGAAGAACCCACCTGCCCCCACCTATCCTCACCACCTTCTACAGAAGCACCATAGAGAGCGTTCTGACCAGGTGTCTTCCTGTGTGGTTTGAAGGCTGCAGCGCCGCAGATGGGAAGAAAGTGAGAAGAGTCTTGAGAACAGTAGAAAAGATCATCGGGGCTCCTCTTCCCTCCAAAAAAAAACATTTCATCCCAGCGCTGCATGTCCCCAGCCTGTAATTTAATCAATGACTCCTCACACCCCCACCATAGACTGTTCTCCCTGCTGCGCTTTGGGAAGAGACTTCACAGCATTTGATGAAGGTCCAGCAGATTCCGAAACAGCTTCTTCCCCAACTCCTTCAGACAGCTGTACTGTACTGTCTTAATCGTGTCACTGATTCCAGATCACACTGATAACCCCAATCCAAAATTTTGCATATTTGCACCATACATATTTAATGCTCTGAATGTCCGTATCAGTGCGGGGTTTGTTTGTACTATTTTTTTTTTTCTTCAACACCGGTTACATTTGATCAGTGCTGCACTTTAAAGAATGGAAATGTTTGTGAAAGCTGTAGAAGACGAAATTTATTTTCTATACACTCTGTGTACACAAAACAACAATAAAAGTTGTTTAAGTCAAAGCATTCCAAGATATAGCTGTTCATCTAGTGACCATGGATGATCACTACTTTTCAAGATGCATTGTGGGAAATTTCGAATCCATTACTTGTTCATCCACTAGATGTTCGGACACTCATCTAAAACGGTGTAACCACTATATAGTGCCCTATTCAATTCAATTCAGTTTATTTCTATAGCGCAATTCACAACACAAGTCATCTCAAGGCACTTTACAGTTCACCAGATCATCCAGTCAAATTGATTCAAAGTTTCCTATCTAAGGAAAACCAGTTGATTGCATCGACTCATTGACTCTTCAGCAATTCCTCACACTAAGCATGCTTGTAGCGACAGTGGAGAGGAAAAACTCCCTTTTAACAGGAAGAAACCTCCAGCAGAACCAGGCTCAGTGTGAGCGGCCATCTGCTGAGGCCAACTGGGGTTCATGGAGACAGAAGCAGAGATACAAAAAGCAGCTGTACAAGGCGGCCCCGTCCAGGAAACACACAGCCAGGCAGACGAGCTCCGAGCCAGCTCCCATGTCAGAGGACGAAGAGAGCAAATCCTATGTAGTAATTAGGGCGGACATTCGGACACAGCCCCAATGGAGAGATTACTGCTGCAGTCATCAAAAAGACCCATGAGGAACTATAAAAAAAAAAAAAAAAAAAACAAGACAAAGAGAGGTACAGTGTAAACTCAGTGAGCACAGCTTTCAGATCATAGCTTCATTGCAACCAAACACTCTTCTGTGAGGGCGGAAAGCAGTGAAAGCGGCGGGTCATCGCCTCAGCAACAGTCAATAGCCAGCTTTGCCTCTAGAACAGGGGTGTCAAAGTCATTCCAGAAAGGGCCGTGTGGCTGCTGGTTTTCTTTCCACCCAAGCAGTAGCACACCAGACTCCATTCATCCCATCAAGTCATCAGGTTAAGACTAGACTCACCTTGATGAGATGAATGGAGTCTGGTGTGCTACTGCTTGGGTGGAAAGAAAACCAGCAGCCACACGGCCCTTTCTGGAACGACTTTGACACCTGTGCTCTAGAAGATGCACATGTAATGACAAATGTGCAGAGAAGATGCTGTCCCTTGTCTCAAAGAAGATTGCAAAAGACATGCTCCCCATCCGCTTCATTAAATATGAAGAGTTGATGGCATTTGTTGAGCCAGAGTTCTCAGTTCCACCGAGAAAAAACATTTACAGAAATGTTTGAGAAACATCTTGATGATGAAATGAATGAGCTGCACAGTGTCTTTAACCATTGACAGAACTAACAACTGAATCGTAGGTAACAATACACTGTCATTACATTATGAAATTACAGATTTCTGTACTGCAAACCAAAGCAATGCCAGAGCGGCACACAGCTGAAAACTTCACCAGTGTGCTCTTCACCTCTTTTGACTACTGTGGGATCAGTGGAAAAGTCACAGCCTGTGTTCATGACAACACAAGCAACGCTGTTGCGCCAACACTGATCATGGGTCATGGGACTCTCAGCCTTGTTTTGCAAATTCACTGCAGCAAGCCACAAACGGTGGATTCAAGCTTCAGCACATTGATCACTTTGTTGCATCTGCCAGCCATTTGGTTTCGCATTTCCATCACATCACAACAACACAATTAGTCCAGTGCTGCTGCACAAGGTGGAATTCTACTTATATGTCCCAGCAAGTACTTGAACAAAGATTAGCAATATCTTCTTTCTTGTCAGACAGAGCCTTCACAGAACTGCCAGATCCACAAACCCTTGAGTTTACTGCTGAAATGTGATGGAAGCTCTAATACCTAAGCTGCACTTGCTGAAATATGCTATTGCTGAGTTGTTTATAGGTTTTCAGTCTCCGTTTCGACAGTTTATCTAGTTACAGCAACTCTTATATCAGAACTCCTAATAAAAAATTAAATCTACCCCTGCAGATCGATTGCATGGACTGATGAAAAACTAATGAAAACAGATTTCCTCAGAGAGTGTGTACTTGTCTGTGCCTGCTACGTCTCTGGCTTCGGAAGGGTTTTTTTTCACAACGGGACTTAAACAGACTTTGATCCCATCTTCATTCCAAGCATGGGAACAGTCTTGAATTACTGTTTGAATTTAGAAGATGTGCATGTTAAATGTTTGCGTGTTGCTGCTGTCTCTCAGTTATGTTTAGTAAAATTAGGTAAAAATAATGCTGTTATTATTGCTTAAACCAACACCTTCATAAAATATTATATGTATAATATTGTATAATTATTGTGATTATATGTCGACTTACAGCTAGTTGAATGACACCTCTGTTGGGGCCTGAGGCATCTGTATCGCTTTCATTAGCACAAAGCAACCTTCAGGATGGTGGCAGTAACCCTGCATCACAAACAACTAAAAATGTGCAGACTGCTTTAAAGCATAAGTCACCTCCCACTTTCCCCATTCATTATAATGAACAAATTTCCTTAAGAGACTATATTTCATGCAAACTGTGTAGGGCTGATATTCAAGAAGTGTTGAATAATACTAATAATAATAAGTGTTGTTTACTGTGAAATTATCAAAAATTACATTATGCTTGTCTGTTTCTGCTTAAAACTCATCAGCACATCAGTCGATGACAAGACGGTGTCATGATTTTATCTAGAGCTCTGACCCACATGCAGAAGACCAAACAGAGAGACCAGGGAAAAGTTTAACAGGTTTTATTGAGAGTTGGTTGTGAAGAGTCCTGTGCTGCTCTAAACTCTGTCGAACCGGGACTGAAAAGTGAAGGGGAAGATACTGCGGTTAGTTCAGGCTCAGTGGGAAATTTGTGTCTTAGATTTGAAGAAGGGAATTAAGGCTGCAGACTCACGTTTCCAGAAAAAGGTGTCTCTTGTTGAATCCAGTCGGTGTGGGTTGTTCCAGTGAATTACTTGCTCGTTGGAGGGCGGACAGGGTTTATCCAGATTGCGGTTTTCTCTTGAGGAACGGAGGAGCTGACTGCCACTTAGTTTTCCTGCGGTACTTGAACGGTTTCTTGTTGAGATGAATCCCCTGCTCAGAGAGACACCCAAACAATCCTTGGGGGAAAAGTAGATCCAAATCACAAGCTTGAATCCTCAGCTCAGTTTGGTGCTTAGAGAATCATTCCAGGGGGAAAAGGTCCAAAACATCCAGTTTGCAGGATGACTTCCTGCCGAGAGGCAAAGACAAAAAGTAAGGTTAAAACTCAGGTAGACAAAAACTCAGTTTGACTCAGCAAAACTCCGCTTGGCTAGAGTACCCAAAACTGGCAAACACTCTGGCTTCGAGGTAGTGGCAGTCAGCAGCTTAAGAGTCCTCCGGTAATGAGGTAACCATCCGCAGGTGTGTAAGGAGGAGAATCAGAACCAGGCGCCGCCTGGTGGGGGAGGGAAGACAAACAAAAGCACAACACACACAAACTGGATTCCTAACAGACGGGAGGGGTGTGGTGGGGGTTCTGGAATCCGGTAAAGTTGAACAATTCTTATTTTCAATATCATCATATGACTTTGTTTGGCCACAATGACCTCATCATTATACATATTCCACACAACCACTTAAAAAAATGTAGTTCAATCCAGCTGCAGGTGATTATACCATGCTATGGTTTTTACTACGCTGGTCCTCGTTGGAAATGCTATCTTCTTAAGGGGAGTGGTGGCCTAGTGGTTAGGGCATTGTGCTTGGGTTCCAGAGGTCCTGAGTTCAAGCCCGTTTCCCACGGACTGACACTCTGGGTCCCCGAGCAAGACCCCTAACCCCCAGACTGCTCCCCATGAGCTGCACAATGACAGCCCACTGCTCCCCAATTATTATTCTTTCAGGCAAACCCATACAGATTTTATCCGCAGGGAGGTGGTAAAATTGACCAAAACTGAAAGGTTTTTAGTGCTGCTTTAAAATTACCGCACTTCATGGTTTTGTTGTGATGAAGTTATCACTGGGTGATTTGGTTTTTTTTTTTGGACACTGCTTGGTATCTTGCTGTTAGTACTGCACTGTACAAGTTCTCACAGTTAAAATAATGTCATAAACTGCCAACAGTGACTCAAAGTTGAGCCTAAGGCTCAATATATCCAAAGTAATAACATATTTAATTTTCCTTTGCAGGTAGGGAGAATGTATTCCAGGTCAAAGACATGGAATTTGTCAACGTTTCTTTGCCTTGGATGCCTGATCATTACGCGATGGTACCTCAGCTGGTGGAAAAACAGCTCAAAACAGAACAGGTCAGTCTTTTTTTATGTCTTTTATTGATTTGTGTGTTTTTATCTTATTTTTTTCTTGATTACAGGAACTACTATAATTTCTGTTTAGCAAGTGTTGTTAGCTGCCTGCCACTGTTGCTAACAAGACTAAACCATATGTTTTTTCAATGTTTGTTTTAGAAGAAAGTTTAATTTAAACTCAAATTGTGCTTAATAAAATGATTGTTTATTGAAAACAATTTGAGAGCCATTGTAATCGGCGGAAGGGAAAAGTCAGCAGACTTTAATTCATTTGACCACTATACAAAGCTAATTGGAATATCTGCAAAATTTCTTTGATATATGTTAGGCAAAGATATTGGAACTTTGAATTGGGCTATTACAATGGAATCCACTATATAATGTATAACATCATAGAATTTGTAAAAGTCTGTTTTCTTGATACCCATAAACTATCTGAACTATAAGTTCACATTCATTTATAATGAATGTCTCAACATATTTTTTAATCGTGTTCATTGTGACCTTGATTTGACTGTGGGGTTGCCAACTCCCTGAAAAAAAGGGACAGCTCATGTGCGTGCCAGCTGACCCGAAACAATTTTTTTAACTATTTGACTCAAATCTAGATTGAATTAGATTCATAATTGATAGTGAAATGAACACGTAAAAAAAAATTATTATTATTATGATCCAGCAGTTCACTTTAGTACAAAATACAAAACTTTGCTGAATAAAATAAGTATCTTAAACATAAGCCTGTCCTGCTTAACTTCAATTCATTTTATTTCTGTAGCACCAATTCACAACACATGTCATCTCAAGGCACTTTACAGTTCAACCAGATCATACAGTCAAATTGATTTAAAGTTTTCTAAGGAAAACTGCTACTGATTGCATTGACTCATTGCATTGACTGCATTGACTGTAAAAATGAATATAAAACAATAAATAAATAGTGCATGTTTTTGTTGCAACAGCAAACTTGTAAACATATTTGTGCCTTAAATGCAATGACTGTAGGCTACAGTTATAAAACAGATCATTAGCTCAATGCTACATATTGTAGCGATAGCCTACTTTTCCACTTGTATTTCCTCTGAGCTCTTGCAGGAGTGAGGAGTTGTATATTCTTTGAGAACTGCAGAGTAAAACTCTGAGGAGGCAATTCATATTTGACACTGACAATAAGCTCAGTTTTAATTAATTCAGTGGAACATTTGTTCGCACATCAGTCCATTTGTTGTTGAGTAAGGAGAAAATCCTCTCCGCAAAACCAGTGGAACATGGGGTGCTGAGGACACAGCAGCTTGGATGATGGGAAGGTCAGCAGCCTGAAGAACCTCCATCCATCTCTCTGCTGTTCCTTTGGACTGCCAGGATTCCCTTTCCTGAAGCGTCAGAATTTAAATATCTCCATTCCTCCCCCATACTGCTCTGTTGTCTCCCGCTATCTTCTCTGTCAGCAACACTTGGCTCGACCAATGGGATGGGGGTATTCTGGATTGTTTCATAGATGTTGTCAGATCATTGGTCACAACGCAGCACAGGCCCAGGAACAAGTTTACAGTACATTTTTTTTTTTTTAAGTAATGTGCCCTTGTTCTTCATTTTCCATTAGCTTTTTACTGAGTATTTTTTACTCACAGTAATATGGGACAAAGTGCATTCCTTTTCCTCTAAATACAGGACAGCAATTCTGTTTTTCAAGGAACAGTTGGCAACCCTATGTGACTTAGACCCTTACTCCACTCAGCTCTGATTTAGACTGACAGCTGTGTTAAAAATTTGTATTTTGGAAGCTTTTGCCTAGTCACTAACATACACAGACTTGCTTAGGGAGAACCGGGAGTATTCCTGAAGCACCGGTGTTCTGTCAGATGACTATACCTCGTCAGACCAGCATACTATTAGTTAATACGCATGCGCTGGACATCAGATTTGTGTTTATCCCTTTAGTATGTAAAATAGACTATAAAGTACCTCAAGGGGCGGGTATCCCTTTAGGTATGTACAAAAAAGAATTTAAGGTCAGATCCCCATACGCTCCAAAAAAACCCCAAAAAGTAGGTAATTAAATTGTTTTTTTTGTACATGACTAAAGGGATACATGCCAGTTTAGGTAGTTTAAAGGCTGTTTTTCATAAAAAACTATGGGGATGAAGTAAAGGGATAAATGGGGATAAACTAAAGGGATAATCGAGTTTTGATTAGACTATGCTTCTCCGACAAGCTATGCTCATCTGACAGAACCCCGGCACTGGGATTCCGGTGCCGCAGTCGCGCGTCTATCAGAGAGATAGGCCAGACCACTTAGGCCAGTAGCATGTGAGAAGGGAAACCGATTGATTTATTTTAATTAAAACCCACCCCAACAGTGTGTTAACCACACAGACAGCAGCGTGTGGAGGAAGGGGTGTGTGACATGTGTCTGGTGTTGGCTGCTGTGGTGTGTGAAGCTATCAAGTGGTGCGAGTGAGGATACAATGCAATGGACCCAGTCTTCGAATGCGGTAAATGGAAGAGGGAGGGCGGTGCAGAGAGGGAGAGAGACAAAAAAAGAAAAGCGTGGAGGAGGAGGACGCAGCCAAATGCAGAAAAGTAACAGATTTATAAAACCCCGCCCACCTGTGGTGCCATTAAAAAAAGATGCAAGTAAGGTATAAAAAAACATGCACACACTAAATGTTTCCATAGCATGAATAACCCTCTCAGTCAAAATTGATTGTCCAAAAGTGGAACTTATAGTAACTGAAATAAAGACTATTTTACTTAATCTTTTAATTTGAGAATTACATTTTTATAAATGTATACTTTCCATCTCAAATAAAAACTACATAAGTATTGTGCCTGGAAGTTAGTAAGGAATCTAAATCAATACAAATTTAAATCATAATATAAACACCTATTTATAAAACTGGAGCTCCTCTAAGTAACTCTGTTATAATTACATTTAAACTTGATGATTTGGGAACAAAATGAAGAACAAAATTTATAGTCAGACTGACTTCATTCTTTTATTTGTTTTCATGAAGCTTTTTTGAGCTCCGATAGCTCAGTGTGAAAACCAGCTGATCCCAGGCTGTTCCTGCATACAGGATGTTCCTCTGCTTGGTTTTGATATGTGTCAAAGCTGAAGGTGAACTCAAACACAGAAGAAAAACTTGCTATTTGGTTGATAAAAGCTTGTTTAATTTTTCAGTTTTTTCAGTTCCTCGGGTAGCAAAACAGATCCCAGCCCTGTTTTATTTTACTACCTAAGAAATCAGTGCTGTCAGTCAGTCATGTAAGCAGGTCAGGGTGGCCTGGTTACATGACTGCTTCCTGGATGGGAAGCGAAACGTCTTTAGACTTGGAAACAAAGTCCAGTGGATTGTTTTGTTTTTTACTTTTTTGATTAACTAAAGATTATTACTTGGTTTTACCCTTGATTTGAGTGACATATTATTGAACTATAACTTTAATTTTTTGTTATTGATATATTCAAAATCTGCTGATAAAATTGCACAACATTTATTTGAAGTACAAAACAAATAAATGATGTAATATTAATTGACTTTTGTAATTTGTTGATCCATCTTTGGCAGCAATTTCACCCGTGGAGCAGTCTAGGGTTAAGGGTCTTGTTCAGGGACCCAGAGCGGCAGTCCATGGGAGTGTGTGGGTCTTGAACTCAGATTCTTCAACACCCAGCTGGCAACCACTAGGCCACCACTCCCCAAAAGTTCAAGGAGGCTGAATAACTTACCAAGAACTGTATATGACCACTAGGGGGCCAAGGCATGTAACTTCCAGCAAATTGCCCCAAATTTAGAACTGACTGGTTTCCTGGTATGTGTAAATAAGGGGAGTTAAATCTTCAACATAATTTTGAAGGAATGCATTATTTATACTTGATTTTTTGTGTTATCCCAGCTTTCCTTTTAAATTTGTGTAAACTATTTCTAAATTTTTTACTGTGGGACTTCTGTAACCTCTTCACAGGAAGCAGCCCTACGTCATAATAGCAAGACACCTCGCTACCTTCACATTGCCAGCAAAAAAAATAACCGCTGGGGCCATCAACGGTCCTACAAACTGCAGGTTTACAGCTTTGCAGGAGAACATCTACCGGAGAGTCAAGCTGAGGAGAGATCTATGTCCTGGGCAAGGTAGGAATGGACATTAAAATATATACATACATAGAAACATAAATAATATAAATACATAGTGTTTTAATACTAATTATTAATATAATTATTATAGCTGTCTGAATGCTGGTTAAGGAGTAGAGAATGGCCACTATAGGTGTTTTCAAGCCGATGCCAATACCATTGATTTTTTATTTATTTTGGAGTCTAGCCAATCTCCCGACATGTGCTTCTGAGTTATTGTTTATTTATTTACTTACCGGTATTAATAAATGTATTGCGGACAGCAATACCCCCACTTTTGAGGTTTGCTGCTGAATGCACTAATAATTTGGTGAACACGAGTAAATATTGGCTGATACTGTTTCAAAGAAAATAAAACTAAAAATACCGAAATTGGCCAAAAATGTCTGTTGGCCTATTATCAGTCTATCATTACTAAGAAGTTGTCACAACTCAGAAAAGAAGGACCAGTATTCAGACAAGACAGATGGTGAGATTACTCAAAAAACGTTTATTTAGGACTGGTGGATGGAGTAGCGGTGGTTAGGGCGTCTGAGGCAGGAAACTCTGGAGAGAGGAAACACAGGATATTGACCGCATAAATCTAACAGAGGAAGATTATGAACATGAGTCACTAACATGGTTTACAAGTTCAGTCCATTGCCAGAAAACGAGGTAGAATCCAGCTTGTGGGCTGACAACAAGATGCGGAGGGCGCCGCCCAAAGTGTCTCAGATGCGGCAGCCCCGGAGAATGGAGAACAAGCAGGAGTCTGAAGACAGGTCAGGCGGACAGATCAGAGCTAGAACAGACAGGCTCAGAGGTCCAGGAGTCTGAAGCCAGGTCAGGCAAACAAATAAAAACAGGAACAGACAGGCTCAGAGATCTAGGAGTCTAAATACAGTTCCGGCACACCGTTCAGAAAGGAACAGGCTGTCATGATTTTACTTAGGTTCAGACCCAAATGCAGAGGACCAAACAGTTGGGTTGACATTTTGAGGACCCATATGCAGAGATCAGGAGGCAGAGGTGAGTCTTGAAGATTTAGCAAGTTCACTGAGGCAAAAATCCAAAAGCCAAAGTACAAAATACAAGGAACCAAAAACTAGAAAACTTTAGGGGAAAACTCATTTAGGAAGTGAGGAAAAGACGAGGACCCAGCACTGAGGAACTGCACTTGGAGAGTATATATAGGAGACAGAACAAAGATTGGTATAATGAGCCGACAAGGTACAGGTGTGGATGGAAGCCTCAAGAAGGGAGCCGAGGGGGAAGGGAACAAACACAAGGGAGGAACAGAGAGTAACTCAAGAACAAAACAATACTAGAAAAAGCTACAAATATAAGAAACTAAAAATAAACTTAAACAGAGCGCTGACTCTGATAGCCAGAGCCTCCCTCCAGTTGTTCCAGCAAAGCCTCAAAATGGCCACCCTCTCGCAAACAGGCCTTTTTACACAGACTAAGCCCCTCCTCTCATTCTCATCCCTTATTTCCCCTTATAAGTCAGTTTTGTTTAGAATATAATTTCCATTTGCATTCCTTTCTATAGAGTTATCAGGGAAATTCAAACACAAACCACAAGTGAACATTTTAAAGTCAAATGAAGATGATGTAACTTCTGCCAACTGACAACCCTTATATTTGGCAAGCTGACTTGGCGCTGCCTTTGATTTGAACCAAACAATGTTGCCAACAGACAGGAGCCTAATATTAAAGGTGCAACCTTAAAGCACCAGTAGGTAGCCAGGTTTTTATGTGTGTTTTGGTGTGGCAATGTGGCAGTTCATTTTATGAGAGAGTATGCTGGTCCTCACAAGTATAGCTATGACAGCCATGAAAGAGCTGATATTGGATATAAATAATAATAAGATCAGAATATGGACAAATATAGCTATGCAACAACAGCACAACAGTGAAAACGAATCCCATCCTGTCAGATAATTTTACAAATTTGAAGCATATGTATGGTAAAAAAAAAAAAAAAATCTGACTTATCACAAGTAACACTGGAGCTTGAGAAGGATTCACTGTTAACATTACCAAACTGAAATATTTTGGACAAATAAGATTGAAACCAGCTGTTCCCCTACTTATTACAGCTTGTTTGGGCCTTCCTAAAAGAATATTGTGATTACATTTACTAAAATCTAAGAGCTGTTTAAGATTTTTTTCACCCACAACAAATTCTGTGTTGTTTTTAAGACAAAATATTTGCTCTTTTTTGTAGCTTCATAGCTCTGGGAATTAAGCTGTTATTAATGCTAGTGAACAGTAGTTATGCTAAGGTGAGGGTGAAGACAGCTGGTGAAGGCTAGATGGTACAAACTTAATGGCACTTCAGGATTTTTGAAGGATGCTTCCCTGACAATGACCATTCTTGCAGTAAGAAATATTTTGGATCCTTTCTCTTGCCAGATGTCATAGCTAGAACCAGCATTATTCCTTAAGTAGCATATCTAAAAAAAATAAAATAGTTACTATTTTATTCCAATAGTGAAAGAAGATGTACATGGATAGCATATGTTAATTGCTCATTTTGCATAAAGCAGCTATTTCGCTCTCATATTTGCAATCATGTACGTTTTATTGATTTGTTGTTTTTTTTCAAGTTAAACTGACTAAATAATCAGGCCTCTGGGAAGAGGCATTGCAGCATATGATGCAGGTCCAACAGACTCTGCAACAGATTCTTCTCCACAGTCATCAGACTGCTGAAAATTCCACTTCAAGTCACAGACTCTGTATCACACTGATGATACCAAACCAAAATACTGCATATTTGCACCATATATATATTAATGCTCTGAAATTCCATATCAATGCGTTTCTGCATGCGTTTTTTTTTTTTTTTTTTATCACTGCTGTAGTTTATGGAATAAAAATATTAATTTTGCTGATAAGCTGCTGCCCATTCACTGTCAGAAAGCTGTACAAGGGGAAGTTTCGTTTTGTATACACTTTTTGTATACAAAATTACAATAAAAGTTGTCGAAGTCTAGGTCTAAGTAGCAATTTAGCTGTGAAATGTGACATTGGGGCAGTGGTTTATTATTGGTCGAGAAAGCTACACATGTTCCCATGTGAAAATAGTATGACTTCTCCATGGAGGATATATGCTGCTCTCTCCACCCTGCTAACAGTGAGAAATAAACATGACACCACCTATCAAAACAAACTGTCCCATGAAGGCTACTTTTAGAACCTCTGGAAACAAAAAGCAAAGTAGTCTTTTGGGAAAGTATGGAATGAAGTGACCACTAGCTGCCCTAGAGCAGGGCAGTTTGGATTTTTCCTTTTTTAGTCATGCAAGGAGTATCTATCACTATAGTGACGTTTCTGTAATTGAATATTTCAAATCAATCAGTCGCTAAATATCTATATGTTTAATCATTTGAATATTAGAACACATTACATAAAAGTTTAGAAAAATTACTTTTACAAACAATTTTTTTCTCTTGGCATTAAATAGGACTAGGTTCATGGAAAGCATGCAAAATGCTGTTTATCTTTATGTGTCTCAGTCTAGCAAGCCTGGTCATGATAAAATATGTTTTTAAACACAGAGAATCAATACTATTAGTATTTTGATTGCCCTAAATTGAATGCTCTCTAGAAGCAAAATGCTCCGTCAGAAACATAAGTAAATGACCTGATCTCTGATATAAGACATCTAAATTTCCAAAAGAAGAAAATGGTTTTCCTTACATGGAAAACTTTGAACCAATCTGACTTTTTTGGCAAAATGCCTGTGCGTATATAGTGCTTTTTGAGGTCAGGAGACATGACCAAAGCGCTTTTCACTACAGCAGTAGCCATTCACAATTTCCCCACTTTCCTTGATGGGCCCTCGGCTGGTGCTTGGCGGGTCCCCTAGGATTCCTTTTTTTAAACATCAATCTTTGTACTAAAATATTCTTTCTGTCATGATTTGTGGACATTAAGATATAAAGAGAAACTTCATCTCCTGGTCAGACTCTTTCATTCAGTGAAAGGTTGGAGTCAGAGTAAAGAAAATGCATGCCCAGGAGAAGGTCACTCCACTGGCTGGAAGTTAGCTGCCATTTGGCTGGCGAGGGCCATTTTGAATAGCTGCTGCTGTACATTTAGTCTTTCACAAATGTGTGTGCATGATGATGAAAAACTGCATTGTAGCCACAGCTACCATGGGGCTCACTGACCTGTGAGGCTGCTGCACACTGGCGGCATTGTGCTCTCCGACCACAATCAGTACACAATGCAGGTGAAGTCTCTTACTGAAGGACACAAGACTGAAAGCCAGAGCCAGGGTTTGAACCGACAACCTCTAGATTTCAGGGCAAGCTCCTACATCCGACACCACTGTCGCCCTGTTCTGACTCTGATCTGGTTGAACTGTCTGTTAAGTGACTGGAGATTACCGTATTTTCACGACTATAAGGCGCACTTAAACGTCTTTTTTTCCCCTCAAAATGTGCGGTGCGCCCTTTGGTGCGGTGCGCCCTATGTGTGTTGTAACTGCGACTTTTGAGACCACCTCATTGAGGAGATGATGAAAGAGTGGCTGAATGTAAGGAGACCAGGTGTTTTTTTTCCACTCATCACCATCGCTGTTAATCTGTGACTCCATGCGTGCCCATCTCACAGCTGATGTGAAAAACATGGTGAAACAAATTAACGCTGTGCTCGCTGTTCAACCGCTCGACATCGGTGTGAACCGGACCCAGCAGGTGCAGCAGAAGCAGCTAGTTTACATGCAAAGTCAATGGTTGACGCGCGTATAGGCGCGCGTATAGGCGCTGCGCGTCGGGAGCGTTTAAGCATCTGCCAACGCGCTGCTGCTGCTCGAGATGGAAAAATTGAAGTTTTGCTGCTGGACGCGCCGCATCAACCAATCAGAGAAGCTGATCTGGGAGCTGACAGCGAGACAGACACATCGCTCTGATGACATATGATATTAAGGCAAATGAAAAAGGCTGGATGGATGAGGAGATGATGAAAGCGTGGCTGAGGCAGGTGTATGTAAGGAGACCAGGTGG